CTAGAGGTACAGCACGGCGTAGAAACTAGGGGTGAAACGATCCTCGGTAGAAAAACAAACTGTACCGTTCAGATCTGAATGTTCAAAGACCTCTAATATGTCACGACCCCTTTAATGTACATGGCAATGAGACGATTATATCTTCTCAAACAGGAGAGCATTCACTTAGCAAAGTCAAGGTCATGGCATCGATTCCTATAATGCATGAACTGATAAAATGCATAACTTCAAAGCAATCAAAGTCACTTTGGATTAAAGGACTCTAAATGTGAAAATAACATCAACTTACTAGGGATGGGCAACGATCAATCGGCTCCAAAATAAAAGTTTGTGTTTACATAATATATGTGTATAATTAATTTGTATATATAAATACCCACACATGCATGTATATATTTAAGAAAAATGTGTTATTAATATATCAAATATTTATATTTGTATATAATATTAATTGTGAATAAATATATACATGCACATATTTCTTAAATATATACATGCATGTGTGGGTATTTATATATACAAATTAATTATACACACTACACAAACATATATTATGTAAACACAAAACTTTTATTTTGGATGCGATTAATCGCTGCCCATCCCTATTTAGCCGATACCAATACCCGATAATTATTTATATTTGAAAGCCGATAACCGATATATCGGCCGATAAACTTAGATCCAAAATTTTATCTAATTTTGAGAGCCTGATTACAAGTACAAAAGTCTCACAATTAAATCCATGTCCCAAGCGCACAATTATAATGATGTTCTCATTATAGTGTTGTATAGCCGATATGACAGATTTGCGCTGAACCGTATTTTCATTTTTTGAAGAGATTTCAATCATATTTCAAGAAATTCAAAAACATAAACAGTGCTCAACAAGTGTCTCAGCTGAAGGGAACAATACATTATTTATCGGCTTTAATATATCGGCCACATTTTCTTACCAGGCCGATAACGATAACATTAAAAATGAATATATATCGGCCGATATATCGTGCATCCCTACAATTTACTGATTCTAAAAACATTTATAACTCCACGCTGCATTAAAATGGACACCATTTCCATCTGAAACAAACTTACCATAAACAGGACAAAAAAATGCTAAATCAATGGGATGCATGCTTCATTTTGCACAGCACATTAAAGTTGAATGAATTGCATGTGTTCATTTAATTTTCCTCATTATTTGCATGTTATTCTCTATCAGAACAGACGTCTGTTTCTGGGCCACGACACACACTTGAGAACCGCTGCCGTAAACAACACGCGTTCAGCATGACACAGCAGTGAGCTTTCCGTCGTTGCCTCTGACACACATGCGGGCCGAGATCATGTGACCGAACACACTTATCTCGCACGAACAGACCCTCTGCCCGCATCAGACACAACAAAAACACCGATCCAAAGGAGGATAGCGGTATATCTGAACTGTGATGATATTTGGGTTTAGTCCTTGCCAGAACGTTTGGATATTCATGCACAAAAACCCTCAAATCAAAATGTCTAAAGTGATTTATGGGTCACCTTATGAGATCCTAAACCATATATGCAGACTAAAATATCAGGTATGCACTCCTTTACCTGTCCTTGACCCAGTTGCCCAATGCTAAACCCACTCAGATCAACCAAACATGATGACAGAAAGTTAAGCTACATGACGACGTGCATGTTGATTTAATGTAACACTTTGGAAACCCTCTGAGAAGCAGGCAAACACAGATATGCTGGATGAGTTAATAATGAAACAGGGTCAACTGTTATTATGAGCAGATGCTGAGAGATGAACACACACTCCTCATTACACATCAGACTGAACCTCTCGCTTGCAGATCACTAAATGAGATTCAAACTTTCCCTCTGGCCGCCAGTGAAACATCCAACTATTTTATGCAAATTTTGGGATATCACATAAAAACATGCTGGATATAAACGTGCAATCATTTAAAAAATATAAATATTCAATCTTTCCTTCTGGCCACCAGTTAAAAACACGCTCTGTTTCCATCCAACTATCTTAATGCAAATTTTGAGCTTTAGAACAGCCAATCAGTGGACAGGCACCGTTCTGGAGGTGACGGTTTCACAAGGCCATAGTCTTTCCATCGTTCGTGTTTTTTTTTTATTTAATAGCTCATTGAAAACATCTTTTTTTTACATTCAGAGGCAGACAGTGGATAAACAACTAGAACGCCCCTTTCCGCTGATTGGCCAACCAAACTTCAAATCGTTCAAACTTCAAATTTAAGTCAAATAATTATTTTCCTGATAAGAAGGCATGGGGCACAAACTACGATGGAAACCCATTAACCGAATAAATCCCTGTTGATTTTGCCTCAGCAGAGGCTGTGATTGGATAACTGGGCTAACCAATGGACCAATCGCATGTTCTGAAATGCCTGAACCAAAGTCTGTCTAATGATTTGGTTTAATTCAGCATGATTGTGTTCCCCAACACCAGCATCCGAACGCAAGAGAACAGACAAACTCGTTTATTATGGAGGATAAAAGAGCCACAGTTTCTTCCCCGATTGCAGAAACATCCATTTGGTATTTTGCACCAATTTTTCCAGGAAGTAACAATTTTGTTCTCTTGATCACATGGAAATGCTGCTTTGGTCGCAAATGTTTTATGAGATATTTCAATTTCAATACATTAAATTCGCAACTTAAAATAGGAGCGTTAAACTGGCTCTAAACATTGGGAGATTTATTTTTTTATTTTTTTTTTTTAGAAAAATACCTCCAAAGAGGAATGGAATAAAATTTACACATAATTTATACATCTTATTGAAAACTTAAAAATAAATATATATTATATCATTTATACAATATATCCTTTATATAAAAAGATCATCTTAAGTTAAAATATATACACATATATAATTTAGCCTATATTATACAATATAAATTATTTACATTAAAAAGTATTTATATAATATAAAATTAAAAATTAAAATTAAAAAGTATATATATATAATATATATATATATAATATATCATGTTAATTGTACATGATTTTTTTAATTGTATCAATAATTTGAAAAACATTTGTGGCTTGGAGATACACCAACTGAGCCCAATGAAAATAAATGTCTATTATTATTATTATTATTATTATTATAAATATTACTTTATTTAAACATAAAGTATGTAATTTGTGCATCACAAAACTTGTTAAATAAAGGCAGAGAATAACACCACACACCAGTGTTAAGTCAATGCTGGCATCGGTCAAACAAACAGATTGAAATACAGTTTGCTGCCACCATTGGCACATAAATGTGCTTCCGAGTGGAAAATGTTTAAAAAGGGGTTCAGTCTCACAAACTTGACCAGACCAGTCAGGTCAAAAGCTCTCGCTTCCAGTCTGCCTTCAACATAACGCTGTGTAGAACAATACTGAAGCTGATTAAACATGACACCTGCATAACCTGTGTCTAAACGTACACCTGTGTTTGTGTGTGTGTGTGTGTGTGAGAGAGAGAATTAAACCCTGTAATCACATTATCCAAACACCCCAAAACATGTGTTGAAGTAGGGCTGTCAATATGAACCAGCGCGTTCTACACGCCAATGTACCTCAGAGTCAGCGGTCACAGATATTTTCTCCATTTCTTTCAGGCAATTAAATAAATCTTTTGAAACCACAAATCAAGTTTGCAAAGCGGGACTGAAGCACATTTGCAAGACAGTTGTGGGCAGTTCAACACTCAACAACAGTTTTGCCAACCATCCCGTCTAGGATCTGAACCCAAAACTTATCAATTAGCAGCCCAGGTTTTAACCACTAAGCCAAACCCCGTAAGGTGAAGCCGGCCTCAGATGCAGCAGTGACGGACAGAAACAGGCAAGACACGGACGGCTTATTCATTTAAACTATTGACAGTATCAAAACACCTGCTGGATGCATTCAGTTTGACAGCAACACATTATTACTTGATCAAACTTTCTCAAATCACATAAAAATCAATGACAATAAAAGGGAAACGCTCACTGGAGATACAGATATAAACAATAATAATCCCTTTGTGTCCACAGAACTACAAACAAACAAACAAACAAATAAAATGAAGCACCATCAGAAATAAAGTTGACAATCTTTGACAATCATCAGACATCTAGACTAGGCTATATACAACTAAAAAATAATTTGTCAAAAAAAAAATTGTAAAAATGTATAAACATAGGATATAGAACTGTGAAACAAAGATGAGTGCAATTTAGTATCTAAAAACAAAAATGTAAATAAATATACTAAACACTTTACAAATTGCCAAATATAGGCTAAATGACAATAAATATGTAATATTGAATTTGTATTTTTATTTAATAAAGTTCATGTTAAAAACATGCAGTTAAAATATATATATAAGAAATATTAATTAAGTTAAAAATGTTGAATATTTCATTTCACATTTTCAGGTTCATGTGTTGCTAGATAAGACAAGCTCATATTCATAATCATATGCTTCCTATCACTGCTTTGCTTTTATCAGTGCTGTATAAATAAATCACCTCAATACAATTATGTTAAATTCAATTGAAAAATCCTACATTATATGAATATAAAGAGCTGTTTTAAACACTTAAACGACGTTTAATGAAGGGACGTTATAAAATAAGCTACAGATAGTTTTTAATAATATCATGATCAACCCGCATATTAACGCAGGGCGTTTCTGACCGATTCACAGAATTAAATATATTGTTCACACAGACAGAAACGCTATAAAACACAAGAGTCGTGCGGCATGAGCGCAGGCTGACGGGGAATGTGCGTTACACAATTTAGTTGTTTTTTTTATGCTACTTTGTCGAATTGGTACATAAATAAAGACACATACTGTAACAAACACTTGACACAATGTCATGTAACGCGTCGCGTCAAAGTCGCGCGTGTGAATGAATGACGGCCGATCACAGAATCACTGCGCCAAATATTCGCAAATGATTCACAATTACGCAATGGAAATAATATCTCTCGTTACCTGTCAACCCGAACGGATTTGAAGACTCTGTTGTATCCCTTTGCTCCAATGACAAGATCCCAACTGGAATAAATCCTTTTCCAAATCCACCGGGGAAGAAATGAGCTCTTCAAGCGCGTGCAATAATATCCTCATCAGAATAAAAACACGCGCACTTCTTGTCGGAGGTTAAATGTATCTTTACTTATTTTTTATTTTTACACAGGTGCGGGTCGTGCTTGTTTTCTATATGAGGACGCACGGAGGAGGACGCTTCACGAATATAAATACCGGTTATTTGGAGGCTTAATATATTCAGCTGTGTGAAGCGACGTAGTGTGTGAGGGACCGTTTTCAAAATGGCGGCGTCCTTGGCTACTTTTCAGAGTAAAAGTCCTAATGAGGGCTCGCTGAAGGGTTCATTTAAATTAAAAGCCCCCGGATTCCTCCCTAACAAAACGTTTTACTCATGTAAGATTCTAGACTTGTATTTTTATGGTACTTTGTTATGTATAAAATCGGGGAAAACTGTTGGCTCTTCGTTTTAAGCGCTTTTAAGCTCATGGTGTGAGAGGGTGAGAGACTAACTAATCACATGGGGCCGGTTGCATAAACCGCTAATACTAGAATTACAACAAGTTAGTTAGTCATCAAACTTTTCTGTTTCTCTCTCTCTCTCTCTCTCTCTCTCTCTCTCTCTCTCTCTCTCTCTCTCTCTCTCTCTCTCTCTCTCTCTCTCTCTCTCTCTCTTTTAAAGCCAGTTACATAAAAACATAGACTGGCCTAATTTGCTATTGAAAGTAAGATTGACTGACCCATGACTTGCTAGTGAGTCATAATAGCTCTTATATGGCTGTTTATGCAATGGCCCTTGATTTCAAGTGTCATTTAAATATGATCTCACACTGACACCTGCTGGTGAAGAGAGGACTTGTAGGCCTACTAAAATTGTTTAAAGTCCCCCCTGTGGTGATTTTTATTTTATTTTTTATATACACATAAATAAGTGTGGTGTTTTTAATATGCTTTAAGGCAAAACTGCAGTGAAACCAAAGACAGTCGTGGTTTGAAATCGCCGGTGTTTCCGACCCCATGAACTACGATGTAATTCCAATAAGGTCAACATGTGATCGTCAGCGAGTGGATCTCTGAGCTGCTGTGAGAGAGTGGAGGTGGGGCTCATTTGCATATTGAAAGAACCACTTATACTAAAGGAGTCAAGGGTGTTTCATTCAAGAGCCATTCCACCGAAAGGGTGACATTTCTGTCCCCAGGACATTATTTGTATAAAAACACATGAAAATTAACTCTAAAATACATTTTATTAATCAAAATTTAAATGTATAATTAAAATCATTAATAAAAACTACATAGAACACACACACAAAAAAAAAATTATTTTCAGATACTTTACTATGAAATATAATAATTAAAATCGGTACTTTCCTGTTATCCGGACCCCACGATGGCCTACCTCTAACCCCGCCCCTAAACCTACCCGTCACTGGGGTTAAGACCAATCAGGGATGATGGCCTACCCCTAACCCCACCCCTAAACCTACCCATCACTGGGGTTAAGACCAATCAGGGATGACTTTAGTTCCTAAATGGTATATGGTGGGATCCGGACCCCAAGATGGCCTACCCCTAACCCCGCCCCTAAACCTACCCATCACTGGGGTTAAGACCAATCAGGGATGACTATAGTTCCTAAATGGTATATGGTGGGGTCCGGATAAGAGGAAAGTAGCTTAAAATCCTTCAGAAATTGTATTTATCGTATCAAATGGTGAAGAAACAACAGAACCTCACTTCCTTTATCTTTACAATTAATCTCTACTTAATCTCCCCAATCAAGCTGTGAACCACCTCCCATTACGAGTCCAACAAATCTCAATCACCATCAGAGGACAAGGTTCATGAAAACACAAGACGGCAGATTCACCAGCAAGAAGCACGAAACCAAAGAGATCCCGAGTACAAGAGAAGAAATGTACAATCAAGGACCGGTAATCGGGAGGATAAACCCCTCATTCAGTGGCGCTCCAGATGATCCATCGCAGAAGCCATGGATGGGTCAGCCTGTGCCACCAGGGTCCTATCCCAACACTTCTGGATATCCCAGCCAGCCGTATGCAGCTCGAACTGGCCCTCAGGGCCCGTATCCCCAACAACAGCAACTTCAAAGCATGTCTATATATCCACAAAGATTGAATGCAGGTCACACCGGGGTCACCGTTCAGCCCACTGTGTTCATGACCTCCACAACTGCGCCCGTTTATATGTCGGATTACTTGTGCTACTCCATCTTTACTCTGCTGTTCTGCTTTTTCCCTCTGGGATTCGCTGCCATCATCTTCTCTGCCTCTGTAAGTATCCGCTCTCATTTCAAGAGTAATTGATTGCCTAATATTGATTTACCTATGTTTGAAATAATGAAAATATGCTTTAATTGACAACATACATTTGATCTAAAAAGCTGATGTATTTTTTTTGTAGTATATTTATTATCTTTGCTTGAAGTTGTAACACTGAAATACTTTATTTGTCTATAGTGAAAATAACATTTTCTTAACTGTTTCATAAAATGACCCATAGATCTTGCATTTGATGATAAAAGATATATATATATATATATATATGAAGAGTTCAGATGCAAAAGCCTCTAAATGCCATTTGAAATTTTCTTCTAAAATGACCAATTTTATCAAGCTTGTATATTTAAGTTCAGTAATTTCACTTAAATGACAATTAATAATCTTCATTGCCATTTAAGTGAAATTACTGAACTTAAATATACAAGCTTGATAAAAATGATCATTTTAGAAGAAAATTTCAAATGGCACTTAGAGGCTTTTGCATCTGAACTCTTCATATATATACAGTATATGTGATAATAAAAGTTTTCATAGAGTTGATTTTCTTTGTGAACCTGTTGTGATGCAGTGATTTTTGCATATTGCAACTGAAACTTACCAATTCCTGTGAAAAGATGTCATAAATAATCATCTCATCAGATAGCAGCTGGATTCTCCTTTAACAACACAGATTACAGTATAATTAGGTTTATAGCTCTGGATAACTTTGAACTTTGGATTTGCATTTGGAGGCATCAACAGCATTAATGTTGAGCATGTTGTAATGTTGTGTATTGGCAATTTTTTTTTAATCGTTTCTTTTTTGTGTTTATTTTCATAGACTCGAGATGCTAACATGGCTGGACGCCAAGATCTAGCGATCAGATCCTCCAGAACAGCATTGGTCCTGAACAATGTCGCTCTCGGTATCGGCCTCACTATCTACACAGTGACCACCATGCTCGTACTGTGGATGTACGGCGTAATTAAATGAACACATGCTGTATTCTGCTTCAAATTCTGCTATTTATGATTTTGATATTGTATTGGCAAGACCTTTTGAGTAATAATTGATTGTATGTTTGTTTTATTTTTTATGCTGTAGGACTGAAAATTGTACTATCATCAATGCACTGAGCACTTATGAAACTAGATTTAATTTAGAGCGAGTTTCTTTTATTCTTTCAAATTACACATTAAAATAAAGTATTTTTAATGGAGAAAAGGGACTCTGGTTTTATTGATTGATATAACAGTATGATTCAAAACCCAAAAGAATATATGAAGAGTTCAGATGCAAAAGCCTCTAAATGCCATTTGAAATTTTCTTCTTTAATGATCATTTTTATCAAGCTTGGATATTTAAGTTCAGTGATTTCACTTAAATGGCAATGATAATTACCTATTAATTGTTATTTAAGTGAAATTACTGAACTTAAATATACAAGTTTGATAAAAAATCATCATTCAAGAAGAAAATTTCAAATGGCATTTAGAGGCTTTTGCATCTGAACTCTTCATATATATGTTCATGAAATACATTAAGTGTTCTGCTCATCTATTATTATACAAGGTATCAATAATTTCTACCAATTTATGCGAGATTGATGTGCTCATTACTTGTTAAATGTAATGTTACGTCCAAGCAAGGATATATTCAAAATCTGCCTCTGCTATTTATACATGGAGTGTTATTGGAGGCTAATTTTCTTTCGATCTTTCGATCCCCCGATAGTTACGTCTTTCCCTTCAGTTCATGGGTAAATAGGGAACGATGAACAATAAAGAGAGAGATCTTGTGGATCTTCAACTCTCCAGCCCCAGAGTACAAACAAACAAACTTTAGGGTTTTAAAAACAAAAATGAGTAGGCATGCACTTGATGCATGTCTCATCAAACTTTCACAAAGGTAAACGAAGATCAGACATAAGATATGGATAGATCTGAATAAGAGTGATGACGCAAAAGAGAGCTGTATTGATATGATAATACTGAAGGAGCTTATATGCATACAGTGATAGGCGTCGTATTCCTACAGGTAGACATGGATCAGTCACTGATGCGAGCTTGACTAACGTGACCTGCCAGAACTGACGCCGGATTTGATGTTAATAGAGGTTTTCTCCGGAAGTATATAATGGGTTTGGAAATTTTAGAGAAATTCTAAATTAATGCATTACAATTTAAAGAAACCCATTAGATTTTAGTCGACTAAAATCTTATTGTTGACTAAAACAATTCAGATGACTAAAACTAAATGGCATTTTAGTCAAAAGAATATGACTAAAACTAAATCAAAATTTGCTGTGAAAATGAACACTGCCAGAATAAATCAAAAATACAAACAAAAGCGTTACCTGGGGAGGAGGGCCCAAACAAAAGAAAACAAAAATACATTAAGGGGATAACATTAACTATAACCATAGATAAAATAAAGAAAACAAAACAACCCTCACTCCCTAACCATCCATTAAACAGGAGAAAAGATATAGGTATCCTCCACCCAACCTTACCCACAACCTTCAACTTATCATTAACGTCATCAATTGATTGCACTTTAGACTTCACAGTTAAAACGCAGTTGAGAAACAATGTATTGTGTGTAATGTTCAAGATTATTCAATTATTACACATCATCATATCAAGCTGTAAACCACCTCCCATAAGAGTCCCATAAATTTGCACGTCACCATCAGAGGACAAGGTTCATTGCAAACACAAGACCGACGGCAGAATCACCGAGATCACGAGTACGAGAGAAGAAATGTACAATCAAGGGCCGACAATCGGGAGAATAAACCCCTCGTTCAATGGCGCTCCAGATAAGCAGGATCCATCGCAGAAGCCCCAGATGGGTCAGCCTGCGCCACCACCATACCAGGAACACCCTAGTGCCGGATACCCGTCCCCATCACCCTATCCCACCGCTCCTGGATATCCCAGCCAGCCGTACGCAGCTCCTGGTGGCCCGCAGGGTCCGTATGCCCAACAACAGCCGTATGTCCTACAACAGCCATATCCCCAACAACAGCCATATCCAGGCATGTCTGCATATCCACAAAGACCGTACGCAGGTCACACCGGGGTCACCGTTCAGCCCACTGTGTTCATGACCTCCACATCAGCGCCTGTGCATGTGTCGGATTACTTGTGCTACTCCATCTTTACTCTGCTGTTCTGCTGTTTGCCTCTGGGAATCGGTGCTGTCGTCCACTCGGCCGCTGTAAGTATTCAGAGTATTCAGAGTATTTGATCGTCACAACTTTGGATTTGCAATTTAAAAGCAATTGCAGAATGAAAAAATGCAGATTTTTAGCATGAAAGGAAAACATCCATTTACTTTTTTTTGTGTGTGTGTGTGTGTGTGTTTGTTTTCGCAGACTCGAAATAATAACAGAGCCGGACGGCAAGATTTAGCGATCATGTCCTCCAGAACGGCGTTGGTCCTGAACAATGTCGCACTCGCTATCGGCCTCGCAACCTACACACTGGTCACTATCATCCTACTGTGGACGTATGGCATATTCGACTAAACAGTTGCTGTATTATGATTTTTTATTTAATGCTGCCCGATTGAAAACTGTATGACTATCAATGCACCGAGCACTTTTAAAACTACATTTCATTTAGCGCAAGTTTCTTTCATTGTTTTAAACATTTAAGAAAAAAAAGAGTGTTTTGGTTTTAAATATGTATATACATATATGTGTGTGCAATCTGTATGATTCATAGCCCAAAAGAAAAGTTCTGATTGTTCATGAAATACATTGTTTCTGCTCATCTATTAATATAAAATGTATCATTTCTAGCAATACTAGCAAGTTTGATCTGCTCGATACGGCCAAGTTGTTAAAAGAAATGTACACACATTTGCGAACAGTTTCATAATAAAGCTTATAATTTTTGCATATCAAGTTTTCCTAGATGTCTGACTGGATATTGTACATATGCTGGAGCAGGATCGCCTTTATGAATAACAAAACTACTCTGGTTTCTTACGTGAACAGAACAACCAGTAAACATTAATGCGGATTTAACAGACAAATAAACCGGACCCAACCCAGTGCTTAAATATACTGAGTAAAGAAAGGAGCTAATGAGATGAATAAGGTGAATGGGATTAATCATTGACACACACTGCTGTAAAACAGGGTCAAAATAAAACAGGCAAACAGGAACTGAACACAAAATACAACCTGTGACAGATAATGAAACATATGAGCCACCCATGTTAAGTAGCACAGCTCATAATTAAATTTCTGGTAAAGAAACAGCTGAGCATTTTATGGTTGGGGAGGAATATGAAATAATGTGTAGAACAATAGTAAATGATTTTAGTGTGTCATCTAATCTTATTTTACTGCATTCCTCAATGGACGGTCAAATAGTTTTATATGACTGTAGGATGAAATAAAGTTTGTAACCAACTTTTAAACTTAAACTTATAGCATGATTCTGTATGAGAGCGGAAAAACAATTTTACATACCGTCTCCAATATGAATGACTTTCACTTTTATCAGGGTAAATTCAGGTAAACTGGGTGATTTTGTGGCCAACTGTAAAACTGAATTCACAAATCATAAGCAATTATTGAGATGCAGCTGTAAAATCAGTCTGTGAAACAAAACTGACAACGTTGAGATGTACCTACTGTATGTACCTCAATAGAAGGCTCCTGTTGTTGTGATGCTCTTGAAAGCATGAAACTGAACAAAATCTTCCTCTGCAGATGTTTTGGGGTGCATTTTACTTTGCAGCCTGCTTAAAAAAAACAGGAAGTCTTTTTTTTTTCAAGTGGTTGACGCAGTTTTGAAGAAAAAACGTAGCGAAGATCCTATTCACTAAACCATTTAAGTCCAAATTCAACGGAAGCGTGTCAATTACGTTAAAGAAAGTATCAGAAACATAGTATGTGTATGTACTATTTGTAATTGTATGTACTATTTGTAATTGTAGTGACTAAACTTACCCGAAAGTAGTGAAAAGAACAGTGAGAGAGTTTTGCAGCTGTCAGTTGAGCTGCCGCCTGGTTTCTATGGAAACGCGCGCGCTCATTAAAACACGTAGAAGTCACTCAGTTACCTAAATGTATAATTAATGGAGTTAATTATTCGATAATCTGGTCAAATATCCTGAAACTTGATACATTATTAAGTGGACAGTAGGCCTGTGGCCATCATCAAACTGTAAATGGAACGAGAACATGAAAGCAGTATTAATGTAAAACTCTATGTTGAAGTCATTTAGCTATAATAGGCTATAATATAATATAATATAATAGCCGACAATATAATATAATACAATATAATTTAATAAAGCTTTAGAAATGGTAAACGAGGTATAGAAATAAAATTTTATTTAAAACTAGGCTATAGGCGACATGATCTACGGCGTGAACATGTTTTATTTTCAAAGTTTATTTTTGGGCTAAATTTGGATCAAATCAGACAGACCGAATAAAGCACAAACTTTAAAGTCTATTTTTTAAACTAAATTTGGACCAAATCAGACGGACCAAATGAAGCCCAATTTTCAACGTCTATTTTTGGGCTTAACGAAGGCCATGACAGGCCAACTTGATTTAGCCCAAAAAACAGCGTCCAAATGACATCTGGTGCTGGGTGGGAAAGATGTCAACTTTACCTCCACTCCCACGGTAGCAGTAAACACCTTCACATTTCTTGTCACTTGATGCAAAGGTAAGCCTGACCGATAAAGGATTTTGAAGGCCGATACGATACAAATATTTTTGGGTTTTAAAATCCGATATATCGGCCGATAATTTATTTATTTGTTTATTTTAAACTGGACATGATAGTCACAAATTTTGTCGTGCTCATTTAAGTTAAGAGAACTGATGGGGATCTTTTAATTGTTATTCAAGCAATGTAGGCTACATATCATGAACAACTCAACGAGTGTTGCCAACAGGGACGGTGTAGAGTGCCCTCTGGTGGTGGACAAACTATACAACTCCAACACTCATGACATGGTTCAAGCGTGTTTCGGCCGTTTTTATTTTATTTTTAATATATAAATTTATCGGCCATTATAACTGCCGATACCGATAGTTTGGAAAATGCCTAATATGATAAAAAAAATCTAAAAAATGCGGTCTGCCGATATATCGGTCTGGCTCTAAAAGGTAATATCAGAGATTCTCTGGTAAAATAAAAAAATGTGTTTATAATACATGTTTAAAAAAGGATTTATGATGCTGATGACAGTTAAATCATGTCAACAGCCTTTAAAAAAAAAAGGTCATGGCTGCCATAGAGGCATTTCAAAGATGGCTGCTGAGTGAAATGACTGGAGTAAACTCGTTTTTTACGAGAGCGGAACTAGAGGCCACTAATATTTGGGCGAAAGTTAAACTTTTGTCTGAGCAATAGCTACTATATTTTATTTTCACTAATTTCACTAAAGATGTTTGGAAGAAAAGTATATTAATACATAATCACAACAATTTACCACATTTCCATGAGCTGGTGATGCCACCCCTTTATTTCTCATCACAACCTGTTGCACAAATGAAGTGTGGGGTTACTGAATTTTCTAAATGTTTTTTTCTGCTTGGCTCTTGAAGGTCTCAGCATTCTCAGATCTGAGCATGCGCAAGTAGAGGACATTACAATGGGGTGTTAAATGCTGAATAGACGGTTTCTCACATTCAAAGTCAAGGTGACTGATTGCCTCCGGACACTTTTTACTGCTCTCATAAACTCTTATGGCCCTGCTGCCGTCCTTTGTCAAAACTCCGGAGGTCATCAAACGCAGAAACAAGAGTGTAACACAAAATGACAGCATTTTCCTCAGCCCTGAGACACAAAACACAACCAGAACGCCATCGCTTCAGTGAGACACGAGAGATTCATAACAAAAACAGAGGTTTATTTGGTCGATAATCACCAGGCAGAGAAACATAGATGAAGTGGTGTGATTACAAAAATATCAATTGTCTATTGTGTGAACCAATTGCATAGTGAATTCTGTGAATCTCCCCAACTCCTTCAGCTGTGTTAAGCTGCATAATAATGCTTCAAAACAAACATTGCATATACTGTAATGTCTGTTGCCTTTGCCTTTAAGGAAGGGAGAGGCAGATAAAATAGAGTTTTTAGCACAAAAAGCAAACGTTTTATGTGTATGTGTGATAAAGTGAAAAATAAAGAATTTCATGAAACACACGCAGAATTAATTTCGAATTATTTTGTCGCATTTGTGTTTCATGAATGAGGCCCGATGAACAAGGAATGTTACAGCTCCATATCCCAGAGTTGAACTACTGATTTGATATGGGAAAACGTGCAAAACATGTGAAAGAGTTGCAGTTCTGGTTGGATTGTATTTGGCATCAAAAAGGAAAGAGGAGGGAATGGGATGAAGATCTGGTCTCCTCAAAGCAGTGTGCATCTCTCTTTCAGGCTTTTCTTCTTCTTTCCACTCTTCTTTCCGTTCTTCTCCTTGTTCTCAGACATCTTCTTCGCCCGCACCTCCCTCATCAAGTCAAAGAACACCTGCAGACAACAAACCCCAGTTGACGCACTCACAGTCATCATGTATTCGGAGAGGATTAAAGGCACAAAACCTTATCGACGTTGGCTCGAGTTTTGGCGGATGTCTCCACGTACTGGACGGCCCACTCGTCCGCTTTGGCTCGGGCCTCGTCCGCAGACACCTGCCTCCTTTCCTCCAAATCAGACTTATTCCCCACCACTAACAGAGGGATTTTATCCTCCTCGGCTTTCACTCGCAGGATCTGCTCCCTGTGCGGATCAGGAACACATAAACACATATAATATGATCCTAACACTTAAAGGCAATCAATCTAATCTTGTTAGATTGACCAAGGCTGCATTTATTTGATGAAAACAACTGTAAAAACTGTGAGATGTTATTTCAATAACTGTTTTATTGAATAACTGTAAATATATAGTAAAGTGTAATTTATTCCTGTGATCTTCAGCATCATTACTCCAGATCCTTCAGAAATCACTCTAATATTAGGATCTGATGCTCAAGAAATATTTATGATTACTATTAATGTTGAAAACAGTTTCATATGTTTGTGGAAACTGTGATACTTCTTATTTTTCAGGATTCTTTGATGAAAAGAAAGTTATAAAGAACAGCATTTATAGCAGCACTTTATACATGTCTTTAATGTCACTTTTGATCAATTTGATGCATCCTTGATGATTAAAAGTAGCAATTTCTTTAAAAATTAAAAATTCTGAGTTCTGATTCTTAGTTTTTTCAATCAAATAAAATGTAATTTATTCCTGTTTTACAATATACGATGTTTGTTGCACATAAACCCTATTACAATGTTATCATTATTATTATTATTTACTCAAAAATAGCAATTTCTACCCAATAAAATATTTTACAGTTTGATATAACTAGAAAAACATATTAATTATAGTGTGTGTATATATATTATTATATTTAAATATATATATATATAATATATTAGTGTGTGTGTACTGTATATGCACAACACATATCTATACATATACATGTGTGTGTGTGTGTATATATACATTATATATATATATATATATATATACACACACACAAACTTTTATGTCAGATTCGATTAATCACATTAATTTTGACAGCACTAATTTGTTAACATGGTCATAAAACGTATATTCCATGACTTTTCCAGGTCTAGAAATTCCCTTATATATCCTAGTTCTTCTGCTATAATGACAAAGCGGATCATTTTTAACAATTTTATTTTCAGATGTCGATATATTCAAATATTCACTTTTTTTAAATTCTCTCATATATCCGGTTTTCCAATCCTGACTCATAAATAAAATGTCAATTGTTGAAGGAACAGATTATAATAAATATGATGTCAGCTTAAATCTTGATTTTTTAACTTATTGTATGTCTTATATCTTACAGCTCGACTCAGCAGTGTTGTTGTGGGTAGGATGCTGGCGTAATTAAACGTCATTCTGCTCTTTCTGAGAACGTACAGTGCGGTAACTGTGCTTCTTCCACACTGGGACTGAACTGAGTGTCTGTAAAGGCAGATAAGCAGGACGTCCTGACCTGAACTCTGACGCGGCGCTGAAGGACTCTGGTTCTGTGATGGAGAACACCAGGAGAAAACCCTCTCCGCTGCGGAAGTAGTTATCCCTGATGGCAGCGTAATCTTCCTGACCCGCTGTGTCCAAGATATCAATCTGCACCTCCTCTCCATCCAGGACCACCTTCTTCCTGTAACTGTCAGCCTTGGTGGGCTCGTAGTCCTCCACGAACTAAGCAACACATATTAAACGAGTAACACAGTCATAATAGACAGAGAGCAGACCAAGGAGAGTATATGAAGGAACTCTTCCTGTGACTGTGATGAACAATTAATAATCATAATGGAGCAGATGAAGGACAGTAAATGGCAGTAAGACTGTGACGAACTCACCTCGTCATACATGAACTGCAGTGTGAGCGCAGATTTCCCCACTCCGCCACTGCCAACCATGATCACCTTGTGCAGGACCAGCGAACTTTGATTTTTACTCTTATTTGCTGCCATGACTTTAGTGTTTTAGAAGAAGAAACAGAACTAGACTGCAAACATACAAAAGAATAGAAACATACATTATTAATATATATTATAAATATGTACCACTTCACAATAAGGTTCATTAGTTAACATTAATTAGTCTATTAACTAACAGACTAGCAATGAGCAATACATTTGTTACAGTATTTATTAATCTATGCTAATATTAGTTAACAAATACAACCTTTGATTTTAATAATGTATTGGTAAATGTTGAAATTATTATTAACTGAGAGATTAATAAATGCTGAGGAAGTATTGTTCATTCTTAGTTGATGTTAACTAAGGTAGTTAACTAATGAACCATATTGTAAAGTGTTACCATAATATATAATGTTGTTAACATATACATACTCACATATTATTATTACATAAAATCATATTAAATGTGTGCAACCATGTATCATGATAGTATGTTATTCTTTGACGTTTAAAGTAAATACCACGGTCCTGAGTATGAATAATCATTTACTATTATGGCACACAGTAAAAGTACCATGGTATCGTCAGCCACAGCACTTCTTTGTAAGTACAACTGTATCAGTAAGAAACAGAAAACAACACTACATTACTAAAATGTACTAAAAAGTATAAAGCAAAGTGTTGTAAATTGAATAAAGCGATTTTCACTTTCCCATCCCGCGGAGAGAGACACCACCCCTTCCTTATTGTTAAAGGCGAGAGCCCGCCTCTTCTAGCTCTTGATTGGTTCAACGGAGAAATTATAAGGCGGGTCCTCCTCTACTCTCCCTCTCATTGGATGTGAAAACAGTCAATCACATAGTTTTCCCACAAAGACTTCATCCGAGGAAATAACTCAGAACTGCAAAGTTTTCGTCTACGCAAACTGATCTGAAACATTTTTAAACTGATCAAAACAACGTAATGTCTCTAAGATCACTCACCGGAAGTTTGATCCGTGAAGGTCCAGTGATTTGTTTGGCATATATTAGCGGTTAAAACATAATTCTGTCACCCGGGGGAGCAATTCCACTACTCCCGTCCCGTACAACTACAGCTCCGCCCACCGGATATTCAAATTGCAAGGATATGACGCCATTACACCATTTATGGATATTAGTAGTCTTTATTTTGATGATTTTTCATATAATGTACACAATTCTATACACTGCTATCTATAATGTAAGTTGTAGCCTACTCTCCATTATGAATGTTTATTTAATTTATGTACACATACACACACATAGATGTATGTATACATATAAATATAAAATTATATGATCAATAAGTTATGACAACATATGATTTTGCATTGCTTTAACAAATCAAAATAAGTTAAAGTATTTAAATATGTCATACAGGATTAAGCTAAATGTTTAGTCAGTTTAATGTCATTTAAGTTGAAATGACTTCAAAATTAAAAAATACTTGAAAATGTAAGGCTGTACTTTACTGTGTGTAGCCTATTAATTATTCATTTGCATATATATATATATATATATATATATATATATATATATATAGTATAATATTTGAATGCAGGTGTCAAGTGCTATCCGCAGGACTTGTGAATTCTTCATTTGGCGAGTGGTGGCGCTGTTTTACAACTTTAAACTTCATCAGAGAGGCGCTATCAGTTATAAACCACTGGACGATTTTATTCAGATAAATGTAAAATAAAAGCAGGCCTACCCTTTAGTCGAGTACTTTTTATTTTAAGAGATCCTCTTTGCACTTGTTCAATTTAAAAACAACTAGGCTACTGTGGTGGGGTTTTTTTTATTTTATTTATTTTTTTATTATTCATATCATAGCCTAGGCTACTTTCCAAACTCTTTCTGTTAGATCAAGTGAGGTTTAAAGGAGCTTCTCTGGCGCCTGTTTAACCAGTTTACGAGTTCACACTTTCATTCACTCAAAACAGTTAAAAGTTTTGCTCATTTACTTTCTAAGACTGCAACACACTGGTTGTGAAGGGTTTGATTCAGGATGCCTCCTCAGACCCACTGTTCGCATTTTGAGCCTGATTTAGCAAAATGATCCACAATCACCTAAAATCAAGTCGTTTTGCTTTTGCGTACTTAGCAGCTAAATAAAAAGTGTCTTTTCTCTTTTAAAAGGATGAATAAATACACTCTAAAATATGTTTGTTTCAACCCATCTTTGGGTCAAATATGGAAAAACACAACCACTGAGTTTAAAAAAATAAAATAAACCAACCGTTGGGTTTAAGAATAAAACAAAAGTAAACCAACATTTGGGTTCATCCATATTTGACCCAAACATGGGTTGAAACAACCCAGCATTTAAATCCAGTCTTGATCGACAGGCATATCAAAATATAATATTTTGCACACTGCATGACTAAAACCATTTTATAGCCCATATATCATAGCCTATATATAACCTTAGATGTTTTTTGCAAGCAATTTTATTTTTATAGGCTAATTTTAACTCGCAGAAGTGATATTTTATTGGACCGATCATTTATATATTCTATATGAGGTGTATTGTGCATGATTTCAACATATTTTCAATAAGCACTGCAAATTTTTCCTGCTGGAAATGAGCATTAGTCCTGCCACAGATCTCGAGGTTTCTCTGACTGGAGTTGGCGGATCGTCCCACGTGGTTCTCCAGTCCCGTATAAAAACTTTCCAGAGGCTCCAAAGCGGCACAATGTCTGTTTGCGCGAGAAAAAAGCCGAAGCTCCAGAACACCATCCCGCGAGCTATGATGAAGAAGTATCTGGGACACGTACATTGGAAGTCAAAATGCCCAACACTAGAGAACGGGATCTTCAACTGAAGAACTGAAAATAGAGGCAAAACTGCGAATGATTATTTGGAAACACTGTGGGGAAACTGACTGGTTTGCGCTCGCTTCCCTTAATCATGGATGATTTTAACTCAAAAGCGTGAAGAAATCACCGGGACAAAACATAACAGCTCCTTTGTTTAGTCTGTGGGGTTTTTGACGCGTAATACTGAGATGCCATGACGCGTCGGACTTGTGCGTAAAAGCGCGGCTGAACGCGGACAGATCTCAAGAGCTCTCCTTACGTTATTTATCCAACATCATACACGAATCGGATGGTGTAACGGGCCGTTCACACTGTGATATCGATCCGAATTGAACAAGCATCGCGGAGTGACCAAACAAACAAAAAGGGAACATATTCAAGCCGCTCACAGGATTTATTGCGTTTGTATCGCTATTTCGTAAACCGGATCGTCTCCACGAGTGGATATTACAGCCTTTCCCCACTTTATAAGCGCCACTTTTTTCGGAGTTGGAGAAGGCGGATACGAACTTTCATCTCCATCAATCTCCAGCTCTCCAGCAGTTTATCATCACAGAAGATGAAAAGCTTGATGTTCGAAGTGCTTTGTTTAGTGTCCTTCCTCGTCTCCACCCGCTGCACACCGGCACCGGACACCGAAGCGCAGAGCACCGGGCCGAGCTGCGCGTCCTGCGGGCTCAGCCAGACCGATGGACCCGCGCGGGTGGACGTGGATTTCCTGGAGGCCGTGAAGAGGCACATCTTGAGCCGGTTACAGATGAGGGACAGACCCAACATCACACACCCCGTCCCGAAGGCGGCGATGGTGACCGCGCTCAAGAAGCTCCACGCCGGGAAGGTACGCGAGGACGGGAGGGTGGAGATCCCGAACCTGGACGGACACGCCACGTCCATGAACGAGGTGGAGGAGGAGACCTCGGAGATCATCAGCTTCGCCGAGACAGGTGTGTGTGATGTGTTTGAGGCTGGTCTGTGCGCGCGCATTTACGCGTGCACTGTAAAACGAACCCGGTCACACTAAATGCGTCTCCATCATCGCATCGTGTAATTTATACGCGAAAATGAGTTTTTACGTGCATATGATAGGCTACGCATGGGATGGGTAGGTTTAGTAGTGGTGTGGGGTATGTTACGTTTGGGTAGGATTAGTGAATAGAGACGCATTTGCATGCGATCAGGCTGGTAAAACATATTGTTGTTCTAACTTAAAAAAAACTAAGTTACCTGTTTGCCTTAAAATGTTGAGTTCACTGAAATTAAAAAAAAAAATAGTTAATGCAATGAAGGAGATTGGATTAATCAATAGAAACTCAAAATATTATGTTATCTGAACCACATTAATTATCTAAGTTGATTTGACGAAAGATAAAAAGTTGTGATAACAATTTTTTTACAGTTTAGCTATGATTAGGATTCATACGTGCTATGGCATTTTATAACAGTGGGTTTAGACAATTAAGACTCGACTACAATTTCAGTGGGGCATGTTGTCACAATAAGAATATGCGGTAACACTTATTTTAGTGTCCTTTTACACGTTACTTGAGCATAATTACATGCAACTAACCCTAAAACAAACCTAATCATAACCCTAAGTTACTGCCTTATTTTTAAGTCATTTCAACATTATATTAAACTGACTTCAAAAAAAAATTTGAGTAAGTTATACAAGATTCAACTAATTTTTTAAGTGAGTTTAATGCAATTTAAGTTGAAATGACTTTAACATCCAAATACTTGTACTTGTGCAGCAACATTTAACTGTAGCCAATGGAAAATGCAATTACTAAATTGTTAATAATTAAGACATGTGACAACTTTCCCCGGCCTGACTTTCAGTTCGGATGCATGTCAGCGATAGGCTGCAGATATTACAAAACTATTGCATTTTTAATCTAGAGGACAGAAGTCACAATAAAAGATCATATAAATGTGTGTGAAATCATCAAAGAGAGAAAAGCACCAAAACCTCAGTTACTGACATCCAGCTCTTGTGTGACAACTAGCCCCGGTGTGCCTCGTGTATGGGTGATACTCTTTACTCTTGCTATGAAGAACAAAATAGGAACCTCTTCATGTTAAAGGTTATTTTAAATCATTTCTGGCTGTTTAGGATGCTATATGATTCATTGGAGGATCAAACAAGTTTGTGGTGTTTCATTATGGGATCTACAGATCAGTGTTTTAGTCTTTTTGTTGAATTCATAACCCTTTTAAGAGCATTTAAAATAATCTCACACAGAAAACTGTTCATGCATCCACAATCCTGTTAAAGAATCAAACTAAAACCAACTGCAACTCATGAGATCAACATGCATCATGAAACACACACAGTATTTGGGACTGAGAAAGACTAAAAGTGGGTGAAATGCTGTTAAATAATCGCTATAATCTGCCATATTGATCTCATTACATCATGAGTGCACATCTTTTACAAAGACAAAAGGTGTTTGTCTTGTTTCACGAACTTCCGAAACATCTTTTCTTCTGTTGACGTCAAATATAGCGAGTAATTTAATATTAGTTAATGCAATAAAGAGGACATCTTTCCCTTTGGATTCCAAAAAGAAGAGAATTGGGACGCATGCGGTTCAACTCGAATCTGCTAAATCACATCCCGTCCTTCATTTTTTTCCACTTATATATCCTGTTACATTCAAAAGTCCGTCACATTATGCAAGTAAAATGGGATGCAAAGAGCGTTTCATGTTGACTTCAAGTTTTTTCAGCGATGTATTGTAGAATTTGCTAAACAAATTCAGCAGCAAATCTGAGTTCAGGTCAAACTGCGATCAGGAGCAAAGACACTCCAAATCCTTTCTTAGTAAAGCACACACTCGAAAGGGTCACATTGACTCTTACTAACCCGTTGCAAGCGCTGACGTCCGTCCCGGTGCTTCAAACCGGGCTTTCATCGAGAATTCGGGCCGCAGTTATTGAATCCCAGTGCAGACCTGGACCTTTGACCTTTTGTGCTGTGTTGGTCAGTGGCCGACTCGCACCCGAACGAGACCCAGGGACCGTTTACCGAAAATGACTGCTCTGATCGATTCAGGTTAAGTGATCGATGTGTTCCTGGCGTCGTCCGAACTGTTGTTTTGGGTTTTGCAGATTCGCTAAAATGAAGTCTGATGGTTTTATCCTCTATATGCCTTGATTAAAGTCATCATCAAATGCCGACGGCAACCCATTTATTATCCATAATGTGAAACGGACATAAACATAAAACTTAATGGGTTTATTCATGAGGATTTTAATAGACGGAATAAAGCGCTTTTATGAAGGTGGTTAAAATTGACAAAAGAGCCATTTCACAAGTTATCATATTTTATTGAAAGATTATCAAGAATCCTTTTTTGTTTGCACCGATGAATCATTCACAGTCATAAAATGCAGCCCGAAGTGCTCCACAGGTCAGAATATAAAAAAATCAAAAAATAAGTAAGCAAAAAAATGTATAAAATAAATGAAAAAAAGATTAGTATGCATTTAAAAATATTTGAAATAAACATAAAATAAATACAAATAATAATATTAAAATTCTGGGAAGTAATTTGTGCCATCGAATCGATTAATCGTGATTAATCGCATCTAACAAAAGTGTTTGAATATCATCATATTAATATGTGTGTATCTGTATACAGTATATACATATAAACACACACAAATACATGCATATATATTTGTATAATACAAACTTTTATGCTACTCGCGATTAATTGTGATTAATCGACTTGACAGCCCTAAAAAAATAACGAAAATATACAGTTAAATAATATCATACACTGTAAAAAATATTTTCAAGATTTGTTATCACAACATTTTTTTCTTTTGTCAAATCAACTTAAATGATTTTATTTAGTTGAGATAACTTATTATTTTGAGTTTCTGATGATTAAATCAATCTCCTTCATTGTATTAACTCACTATTTCCAGTTCAATCAACTTAGAATTTTAAGGCAACCAGGTTGTTAAACCAACAATATTTTTTTACAGTGTACTCCAAAATGAGCTCAAGACATGATATTAAGTAACTCATGGAAGGGTAAGGCCTCGGTTTTGTGTGTTTGCGTGCCTGGATGAAGCGTCCCGCGGCGGGTCTGGAGCCGGGAGCTGTGGGGCCGCCGGTGGGCCTGTGTGGGGTGACCTCAGGACATGAGCGCTGGAACACGTCCAGAATCTTCTGGAGGATCTGGTTCTCTGTAAGAATGAAGCTGCCCTGCGCTGGCAGAGGCCAAGTGAGTCCCTCTAGGTTTCTGTGACATCTTAATGGTGTGTGGAGACTCAGGTGAGGCCGACTGCCAAGAGGGAGAGTTTGCTCGCGCTGTCTATTAGAGCGGCGTGATGAATGTGCTCCGCGCTTTACTAAAGGCCTGAATCGAAGCGGGAAGCCGTCCAACCTGTGATCATGCGTTCGCTCTTGTTTTCAGCTTTGCTTTTACGCTTTGATTTGGCCAGCTGGAACTGGTAGTGACAGTAAACACCATCCCTCCTGTGTTCAGTCCAGTTCGGGCATCGCTAGTGCTCGTATTGAGGGTTAGTGAACTCAACAAACCCGTAAAGCTCCGGCTGATTTGGGTTGAACTGGAAGTTTAGAAAGCGAGCGAGTTTGTTGGATGACGACACTTTTGTTTTCTGATAGTTTGGCTGCAGAAAGACTTTTAACTTAAATGTTTTTCTGATGCGAAACTTTTATTTTGAAAAAGACGTGCGTGAAATGTTTAATGTTGTTTATAAACACCCCCCCCCCCCTTTTTTTTTTTTGAATATAGATGAAAATGCACATTTTGAACTTGAATGGTTGTAATTGAAGAATGCTTTGGAATATAGATGTAAGATTGGTCTCGTTTTAAAGAAGACATTTGGCAGATTTTTGTAGAAGTGAAATAAATTAAGAATGTGAAACAGAAAAAAAGTTATAGAAGTTTGAGTTTATGAAAATGTACAATATAAAACATGTATTTTATATAAAATATATTTTCAAAACCTGGGCGACTCTAAAACTGCAAAAAATCAAAGCCAAAAATCTGAATAATTTGTGTTTCAAATTTGAGGTTGATATCTCAAAAAATGAGCTTTCAGTGAGATTTTTTTTGGGCGCAGTACCAAACTTTTTCACTAGGGCAAAAACCAGACTCCATTACTGCCCATATAAGGGCGCCTCCATTTCCATATGAAAAAATAATTATTATAATTCTAAAATAATTCCTAATGTAACATGTAAAATGATATTACTTAAGAAATATATTTAGCCGTACTACTGTATAGTTATTGTTTGGTGGCATTGTGCAAGTGGGTTGTCTTCATGAAAATAAAAGGATAAAAAAAAATCATAAAATAATTGAAAGGAAGCTTTCTTTCGAACTCTTGGCATTAAAAAACAAACAGGTTTCTATCCTTCTTTCATGATTTTTCATGTTCATCACAATTTCAAAATAAAGGTCTAAACACGCCTTAGAGTATGAAAATATTCTTGTTGCAAATTGATAAATTACGGCTCCTCTGTAATATATTTTGAAAATCAATCACCAAATATGAAAACTAGAGATTCTAAGCTTTCAAATGATATATAGTTTATAGTTTAGTATAGGATAATACTGTTTTAAAAATGTAATGGATTTGGGCCCACCGTGACACTAAAGGGGTTAAATATTTCATTTCACAATTCTGACTTTATAACTCGCAATCCAGTGGTTTAGGAAATGAATGGATGGATGATTCAGACTCTCACGGTGCATTATGGGTATTCTCGAGTCATTGAGAGTACATAGTTATTGAGGTGCATTGTGGGATTGAATGAGTGCACTACGGTTTCCGACGCCACTGTAAACGGCTGTTCCCTCTAAAGATGATGGGAGGCGATTCGGACACTGCCAAACGGTCCTGTCAAATGCTTCTGTTCTCGTGACACACACATATGGGGAAGGTGTGTATCACTGCACTA